TTAACGAACGAAAAAAAAAAAAAAAAAAAAAAAAAAAAAAAAAAAAAAAAAAACCCAACCAACCAAACAAACAAAAACAAGTTTAAAAGGTTGAGCACTTACAATATGTTAAGGCACTATGCTTAAAGAAATTTGGAGTAAATACCACAGCCACAATTTTAACTGAGCCTGAAGACCATACCAAATTTGGAAATCAGTGGAGTAGCTGGCTCTCAACTCTATCAGACCCTGTGGTTGGTTCCTGCTTTTCAAATTTAATCATCCTAATGATACAAATAATCCAAAAATCGAATTATATAATAAAGAAACAAGAAAAGGAATTTATATAAATACACATCTTGTCTACTCAGGAAGACAAAAATGAAGACATCACAGATGCTTACGTGTGCTGAGAATCACTGGGAATGTAAGAGCTAAAAGACTAGACTGTACAGATGTTCTTTCGCTGACTCAAATACCACAAATGGCCACACATGGTGGTGCTCATCTATAATCCCAGCACTCAGAGGCTGAGGTGGAAGGATCATTGTGAGCTCAAGGCCAACGTGGATTACATAGTGAGTTCAAGATCAGCCTGAGTGACAAAGCAAGACCCTGTCTCAAAAAAGTCAAATGAGATCTCCTATAAATGTTCTGAACAAAAAAGTACAATTTTCCTTTATATACTAGTTATATTCCCGGAAAATTTTACCAATATGTAAAATGAAATTAGAACAGATAACTTATACAATGGATATTTTATCTCCTGGAATATTCGATAGGATAGTCACACAGAATTCTTCCTTTGTGGGGGTCTGGTTTTTGCACGATGGGACTTATGTATCATTCTAGGTCCTCTCCCATTAATTGCCAATGGCATCCCCTAGTCACTGTAATAATCAAAAGTGCCCCTACAATCTTCCAGCCTCTAGGATGAGTGAATAGTACAGTGTGCCCTGAAAACCACTATCAAGAAAGGCGAAGTCTGATATTCCACAACTTCTGAAGGTTCATTTTCTGAGCACTGAAACAAATGTGCTGCATAAAAATTCCTCATTAGAGAGATGTTTATGCAACTGTGCAGCAGAAATGATAGATACTCCTTGAAGTTCAAGAGACCATCAGTTTCTACAGGGTCGAACTGCCCTTCCTTCAAGCTATCACACCATCTCTAGCTGCAGGATGTTCCCTTACAACCGAGAGTAATTGGTAGGAAGGTATCTTGGACTTTCACTCATTTGAGATTGCCCAGATAACTCCATCATTTGTCCTTATCCATGCAACAGAATCAGATCATCCTTATCACCAGTCTCAGCGGAACATCTGATCTGACCCAGCCACCCACTCTTCTCTACATTCCAGATTCTTTTCTTTCTTTTTAGACAAGGTCTTACTGTGTAGAGTTCAGGCCGGCCTCTTTCTCATTCTTGTGGGAATCCTCCTGCCTCAGTCTTCCGAGTGCTGGGATCACAGGCATATGCCATCAGGCCAAGCAACGTTCTCAATTTCTTTCACTGTGCTCTCTACAATAAAGACCTAAGCAATAACAATGTCCATCATCTTGCTCTGTCTGAAGCCTGGAGCTGTCTCACGCAAACAGTATAGCTTTTCTTTCCAATATCCCACATGGGTTAAATATTCATCATCCTTGCTTCCCACTACTAGTTGTATACCATTTCTTTGTTGAACTTTCAAAAAATTACAACCTAACAGGTATGGTGGCACACACCTGTAATCACAGCACTCAAGAGGCTGAGGCAGGAGTGCTTCAAGTTTGAAGCCATCCTGGGCTACACAGCCAGATCCTGTCTTGAAACAAAATCCCCTCAGAAGCTCCTATGATCACTTGCACCCCAAAGTTGTCTTGCTAGTTACAGATTCACTACCTTCTCAAGTATCACACCTTCTGGTATCATTCTTAGTGACAGTATCTATACAGATTATCTATCCTAGCACCATGACCCGCACACCCATACTCATTTCTTCCTTCACTTCATTTCTGCCACCGCTGTGGTTATTATACTCTAGATCTTGCACCACCTCCAAACTCCCATTTTTAAAGCACCCTCCTGCCTTAATCCACCTATTCAATCACCTCTACTCTAATAAATGATTCCAGGAAGTCCCAGTTTCCACCGTTCATCAGCTCGTGTCCTCTCTCTCTTCCCTGGTTTTACACATACCTCACAAAATACTGCTGATTTCTTCATCCCTCTCTGCCACCCTTGTACTTGTTGGGAAAACCTCGACCCTGAAACCGTATTACATCTATTTGTTTAGTGCTGGAAATCAAGTTGAACGCTTGATTTCCACTCAACTGCGCAAATGAGCCGACTCCTCAGTTGAAAATGATCACAAACATCGTGCCCTCGAGAAGTCTACCAATCCTACTTTATTTTTCTAGTAAGTCGACATACTCGTATCTACCTTCATCTTTTTTTTTTTTTTTCAGACTAATATTAATACAGCATTTTCATTTATTTGGTACCGGGGATTGAACTCAGGACCTTGAGTTTGCAAGGCAAGCGGCACCACTGAGCTAAATCCCCAGGCCCCCCGCCAACCTTCATCTTAAAAGTTCTTCCTCATGCTCAGGTCATGACTCTACCTCGTATTTCATTAAGTAATAGAATCACAGGATAAACTACTACATCCTCTCAATAGCTGATTATTTGTATTCTCACAACAGTCATGCATTTTTCTCATGTATCTTCCTTCCTTAAAGAGGAAAATAAATAAATAAATATATAAACTATTCTCTCCTTACCCAATCCCTCCAAAAAATTGATCCAAGGCAGGAAATAGTTATTAGGAACAAAGTCCTTGGGATCACAGAGAGGATGGGAGGATTTCATCTTTTTAAATGGAGTAATTCTACTAGTTCTAGTAGCTTATCTGTTCTAACAATTTTAACCAATTCTATTACCTGCATTGTCTTCTGTTAATTCATTTTTTTCTCTAGTTATGGATATTTTTCTGCTTCTTTGTATGCTTGTAATTTTGACCAGGTGCCAATTACTGAGTTTTATGTTATATAATCTTTTTTTTTAGTATTCCTTTGAACATTTTTAATTTTTGTTCTGGGACGTAAGTTGCTTGAAATTGAGATTATTTTGAGCCTAGTGTTTAAGCTTTGTCAGCGTAAGTCTGGAACTATTCTGCCCTACTGCTACGACAAAACCCTCCCTGAGGGCTTCACTTGACATCCTGCGTATCAAAAGGTCTTTCCATTCTGGTCAACAGCAATGTAACGTTCCCAACCTGTGCACTCCCAGAACTGTTCCTCCTCTTCCCTCCCAGTTGCTTTCCCTCCAACTTGGAAGCTTTTTCATAGGCTCAGGTCAAGTCAAGGGGGCCCTTGGGGTTCTTTCTGTGCAGCTGTGGTGCTCTGCCTGAAGTCAATGTGGCGTCCCCAGTTCTAAATTCTCCCTCAATTCATGGAGCTGCCAGGATCTCCCTTCCCTGAGCTGCAACCTGTAAATTCCCAAGGCACTGAACTGGATGGATCTACAGCTTAGCTTGTTTTATCCCACCCCCCCCCCTTTTGGGCCTCTGCTTCAACTTTCTAGTACTTACATTTGTTGATCTCTTAAGTCCTTCTCCCAGCTTCTGTCCTATTTTTCCCACTCCCTTTCACAGCAGTGCTAGTCCAAAGAGGTAACTCACTCCTGTGTTCTGCCCTCTTTACTTTATTTCTATTTCAACTGTGCTTTCCTCTTCCTACACCTTCTCCAAAACTGGTACACATCTAATCAAATTAATCACTTTCCTATATTCCTCTTCTCAGTGGGCACAGCTAACGTCCTTCTTTCCTGAGACACTTTTATCCTTACTTTCTCCCTACTTTAGTTCCACCTTCACCTGAGCTTCAAGGCACAGCTTTAAATAAAAACCATATGCTAAAACTTTCAAATTTATAACACCAACCCATGAATTCCAATTTATACACACATTTAGTAGAACTGCTCTAGTGCTCTACATTCTCATGTATCCAATCTCACCTGAGTAAAATGCTCTCCAAACTTAAGGAGTCTTCCCTTTCTGGGTATCTTTATCTTTCCTCCTCCAATTCTCCCCATCTCAGGAAATGGCCCAATCATCTATCCAGCTGCCAAAGCTAAAGCTCAGAGGGGTTCAATCTTGATCCTTTCTCTCCACTTAGAACACATTAAAGTTCATCAGCAGGCGCTGAAGGTTCTACCTGCAAAACATATCTCAAGTCACCCATTTCTCTTCATTTCCATTTCTACTGCCCTTCTCAAAGGCCCATTAACTCTCTTATCCAACAGGATTCATTCATTCATTCCCTATCCAATAAAATGATCTTGGAAAAATGTCAGACCACGTCATTTGTTTGCTGACGCTAATAGCCGACTTCATTTCAAAGAGATCCAGCTCCTTATGGTAGCCTGCAATACCTTACCTGATCTGGATCCCCAGGTTACCCTTGGGTTCCCATGACACAACCACCAAGCCCTCACTCACTGTGCTCTAGTCACACCGGCCACCTTTTGCTCCTACTTCAGGCTCTCAGCCTGGAAGGTCTTTCATCCACATCCTCAGTCTTGCTCATTCCCCTGTAGAAGTTTCAAGTCAAACGTTCCTGGAGCAGGCATGCAAAGAATACCACCTTCCTTCTCCTCCTAAGTGAAATTTGTTTTCTTGTTATTCTGCCCCTTAAGGGTCATATCATACTTTTAACTTTAGAGCACTTTTTTGGTTCTTTGTATTCTCTTACTAAAATTCAGCATTCAAACAAATACTTGAATTACATGAACAAATAATTGAATTACATGTCAGGCACTTTCATGCACAAATATGTATCAGTAAACAAAGCAGACAAAAATTTCTGCTCCCTTGAGTCCAGTCTAGAAAGTGAGACTATGAAACAATCCTTGTGTGTTCTCTCTTGTATACCCAGAGTTTAGAATAGTATCTGGCTCATAGCAAATAAACAACAAATACTTGATTTAAAAAAAGTGAATATATTTATCTGTATTTTCCCTTTCTTTGACAATGAGCCAGCACTTCAAGCAGCTCTACTTAGCTATTAAAACAGTGACCGAATTACTGCTTTAGAGTATATATTTGTAGTTTATTCCACCTTAAGACACTATTACCTTACAGGCAAAATATGAATTTGTTACCATTACTACAGAATTCTTGCTATAATCTTAAATCTTTGTAATATAAGCATTCAATGACTAGTGCAACCATTTTTATCCCTCAAGTCTTCCATATCCTGGCTTTAGAACTTGAGACTTCTGAGGCTAAACTGAAACCAATTATTGCACCTAAACTACCTTTACTTTTTAGTAAGTTATGCTTATGTAATATGCAAATTCGATAAACACCAGAAAATACTTTCGAGACAGACTTAAACACATTGAGAACACGGTTTAACCATTAAAATAGGAAAGAGCCACAGGACTTCATCTTATAGCCAAGAACACTCTGTGAGATCGCACAGGTTCAGCTATGCAGCATCAGAGGCTGAACCACGACTTAGTCTAGTAATTCCCAGTTTTGCTTTTCTCAATTAATACTTACCCAAATTTAAAGACTCAGTTTTTTACAAATGTATCATATGACTCTTTAAGGAGGGAGAGCGCATTATGTTTTTCTGACAGGCAATCCCAAGGGATGACGTGAATGTTAATTCATTTTTCAGTAACAATAAAAAAGCCCTTATAAAACCTCAACTTCTCTTTGGTAATAGTAAAACCTTCTATGCATCATTTTTACATATACACATACTACCTTATTTCACTCTCAAAATAAAGGGAGGTCAGAGAACAATTAACAGTTTTTGTCAGAGAATCTACGGAGGCACTTGGGATTCTAAGCTTACCAAATACCTCATTCCGTTGAAAACTGGAACTGACATTCCATCACCCACAAGACATTCTAAACCTTGAGTTATCTTTGCCCCTTGATTCACTATAAGATCAGATCCTATTTATTCAGTCAGTACTTTGTAATACTAAGGTAAATTCAACCAAAATGATTTACGGTAATAATCTGTTACAAAATTCACTAAGTCATCATAATGTGTACTCAAAAAGATAACCTTTATTCCATCTTTCAAAGATCTGGTTTCATAAAAGCTACAGTGCATATAGTGCCACAAATTTATTAAAGGTCAGCAAGTTTGTTTTTTTGTTTTTCTTCTACTTACAACAATGGAGACGAAGGATGAAACTACTGGGTGTTCATGTTTAAAATACTGTAACAGCTCCAAGTCACCATAATTACAAGATTTAAGAAACCTGATCAAAAAGATTTTCCTAGTTTATAAACGTGTTAAAAACACATCAAATAACTCACTGAATGCAATTCTATCAAGTTGTTTAAATCACTGAATCCTTCTGATTTCCTCATAACTTATCAAAAAGTTCTATTAATATAAATCACATTTTAATGGTCCAAAAGCTTAACTGCCGGGCATGGTGGCATGTGTTTACCTAGCTACTTAAGAGGCTGACGCAGGAGAAAGATCACAGGTTTGAGGGCAGCCTGGGCTACACAGCCAGTTAGAGGGTAGCCTGGAACATGAGACTTTGTCTCAAAATTTAAAAATAAGTGAAAAGGGCTAGGGATGTGACTCAGTGGTAGAGCACCCCTCAGTTCAAACCTTGGTACTGCAAAATAAAACAAGAAACTGGGAGTGATGGCGCATGCCTGTAATCCCAGCATTTGGGAGGCTGAGGCAGGAGGATTGCTGTGAGTTCTGAGACAAGCCTTGGCTACATAGTGAGTTCCAGGTCAGTCTGAACTACACAGTGAAACCCTGTCTCAAAAAACCAAAATGTACACTCTCTTAAAAAAAAAAGTACACCCCGAGCCAGGGATGGTGGTCTATCCATGTAATCACAACACTGTAGGAGACTGCCTAGGAATTTAGCAATTTAAGTGAGACCCTGTCTCAAAGGGGGAAAAAAAAGGGCTGGGATTACAGTTCAATCTGAGTTCCCAGAGCCACAAACAAAAACAAAACAACAAAAAATGCTAGCCTTTGCTTTTAACTCACTATTAATGAACACTCTCAACTTTTCAGGAAATTGAGTAATGGATGTAGTCAGAAGCTACATTTTTATACACCGTATACAAACACAACTTTTATTACTAAGTGTGTAAAAACTCAGCCATGTGTATGTATATGGCTTCCTTATCTGTTTACCACTTTTACTAAATACCATACAGCAGAATGGGATATAAAACTAAAATCTGTCCCCATTTAAAACATTAGGATTGGTATATTTAATCCTGCCCAGATTCAATAAGCCTTCAAGCAGAGCTTTTTCCCTGTGTTTACTCCATATTTAGATATACTTTTTATTAAGTGCTAAAAGAAAATGAAATTCAATAAAAAATTCCATTGCTGATGATGAAGCACCCAGGATATACTTTAGATACATAACCCAATCAGTTTAATTCCTGGTACCAAAAAAAAAAAAAAAAAAAAAATTGTTTTCTACTCTGTCCAAGATGTTTTTGGTAGCGGGATCGAACTCAGGTCCTTGCGCTTTGCAAGGCAGGCGGTGGAACCACTGAGCTAATTCCCCGGCCCAAGTCATATTTTATTATTACTACTCAATTCTTTTTATCTGGATTGTTTGCTACTTAACACAAAAACCCAAATATTCTCCATGCCTTTCTAATTCAAACAAACTATAGTTTAACTTTCCTTCTACTGTAACTGAGACTTCATATATGTCCAAAAAGGTGGACAGAATGAAGAAATCAAGACTGATTTTTACAGCTCCAAACAGAAGGGCTAAAAGCTTTGGTTTAAAATATTAAAGGTTGAAAAAGGAAAAAAACCTTGGTTTCTTTTTTTAAAACACAAATTTTAAGATTACTTCAGTTTAAATTAATTTTTATGAAACTGAAAAATTAAAAAATCAGTTAAACTGTTTTTATATTAATATGCACATACTTCCACTCTCCCCCTTAAATTTTAAAAAAACTGTTCACTTTATAAAGTTCTTGGGCTTAACACCACTGCATAACAGGTCAGTAGTGAAGAACAGAAAAGGCAGGAATTTGAAACTATTTTGTTTAGTTAGAACTCTATAAAACAAAGCTGCTTGGTTTGGATCAAAGAGCCAGACATACTTCTAACAGTTTCAAAAGTGGCAGTGTAGCTAATGTCAATGTGTGGCATCATCTACTTCTTAAATATATCAAACATTCTACCCAAACCATTCCAAGTAACAGGTTAAATCTTCACTCCTCATAAAAAGGGTATACATACATACATACCCCACACATCCCAATGGAAAGTTAAAGTACCATACCATGGACACAGTGGCTCTAATGTGCTAAATACTATATTAAATCAATTGGCTAAATGGGGGATACAGTAATAGCATTTTCCCAGTGTTGTAAGACTTAGGATTTTTGTTCATTTACTACATAAACAAAACATTAATCATTAGGTATATTTCTCACTGCAATTCTACAGATGTATTCTGATCATGAAATACTTTCTTAATAAGATGGTGTATAAAAACTATCCTCACTTAAATCTGTGCCCATCCTTCATGACCAAAATAAGATAAAGCTAGGCAGTCCATTCTGGTTCTAGGTAACTGGGATTTAAGAAGAGGTTTAACCAAGTTTAACTCTTTAAGTACAAAATGCTTCAACAAATCATTAAAGTTTTCCCAAGGTTAGCTCAATTCAGTTTTCTATTTAGTATACATTTTCAACACTATGTAACATCCTTCTCTCAATGTTGGATTATAATTATATCACCCATCATTAGGAGCATGAACCACAGGATTGTATCTTGTTTACCAAGCACTATGCATTCTATTAAGTTCAATATCTATTACTGAAGTCTATGCTTCATTGATCATAGTTCTGGTTGACTGGGAAGTGAAAAATTTTTAAGTAAATGATAGAAAAGAGTAGTCTGAAGGGGGGATCCGATGTTCCTCAAAAAAGGGGACTTATGATCTAATGTCAGCCATACACTTTATAGTATCATGTCAAAATTATTCCAGTGAACTGAAATTATCTGTACATGCATTTGGCAGATGTATCAGTTGAACTCAGCTTTTCAGATTGTACCTTCTGGGACCGTCCAAAGTACTTAGAGAAGCAAGATTTGACTAAATTTCTAGAGTGTACTGTAGTGCTCTCTTTCTTTAATCAAAGCTTTCCCCTTCCTTGGCTGCAAAACAAGAACTACATATTAATTTCCAGGAAAGTAACACCAACACCCAACTTGAAAGTATGATCGCTAAAACTTACAAAGAGAAACAAAAATAAAACCAAAAGA